TATTCATTTCTGATTAATCTTTAACTTCAGTCATAAATTTAGGATTAAATGTGTTCTAAGGTTTGGATCACAGTAACCAAATTTACGTTGCAAAGTGACTTCTCTACACATAGTAAAACGCTGCTTACTCACACTGCAGTAGTAATCAGCTCTTCATTTGCCAACGTTACAGGTAACAAATATGAGAGGTGGAAAAATCAGAATTTTTTCCCACCATATCTTTTCTTTAGGCTATGGGTAGCGCTTTTGGATTAGGTCTAAGGTAAATGTATGTCTTAAAATTTTGTATCCCTGAAACACTGAGGAAGTCATTCAGCTATGATAATGGGAAGCAAGGAAAAGAGTGAAGAGTATTTTCAACATAATGAAAGAGTAATAACATGAAATACTTCACAGCCTCCCCTACTAGTTCCACAGATGTACCAAACAAGAAAGGAAAGATGGTAGAACCTTGTGGATCTGCATTTGAAGGTACTCGGCTTTGAGGAGCAAGCCCAGCAGGAGATGTGGGACATGGGTGAACAATAAAAAAAATCAGTGAGTTGATGTCAGGGTTTCCTGATTTGCCAACCAACCTGGTGATTGAAAAGAGTTTGTTATTTCTAGGTACTCTGCGCTTAGTAGTTGCTTCTTCCCACAGGTTGGGTCTAATCTACCAGAGGTAGAGGTAAAGGAATCCTTCCAGTCATTGACAATGTAAACAGTTTAGCTTTCTATTTTTAGAGTAGTTTCTGGCAGTAACTACTCTTTGGGTGAACAGATTCACAAATGAAAACCAATCTTTTTATTAAAGATGAACATGCATTTTATATAATTAAATTAGGAATGACTAACATACCAGGGAAAGGCTTTACCAGTCCTCAGAGTGTGTCTAGAACGTATGTAGCTCAGGAGAGAGATTTAGTCCTAAATTTGTATGCACATAGAAAATTGAAAGTAATAGAGCATTGGCTCGAATGGCTACGCTGTGAGAAATGTGCTCTGCTGTACAAGTAATGTTTTGTTCATGGAACAGATAGGGCAACTTTATCTTTCCAAAAGATAAAAGTTTTTGCTATAGATATTCAGATTGTTTTCTGGGGCTTACTAGGTAGTCATATGCAGTGGTTATGAAGGAAGTATTAGAGGTTATGGAACAAATCTGAAGTGGCTGGATGTCTTCAAGGGAGGAAAAGCAATGTCTCTATGAGTCAAGGGCAATGACAGATCTTTTGTCTTACGAAGTTCTTTAGTGCTGGGGCAAGTCTTGAAGTGTGTATCCTAAACTTCCTATTAACCAAGTGTTGGGGAAATGGCATTTTATGAAGAGCCTGCTCACCAGAGCACTCCTGGCTTTTGGGAAGACTTCTGTCGTGATTCTCCCTGGATACCACCTGAGAACTTAGTTGAGTTTTGCATGAACTTGACAAAGCTGTCATTCAGAAATGTGTAGTGACCCTCCTGCTCCTGCAAGTGCCTGGAGTGCTGCTGGAGGGGAGGTGCTGTCCTGACTGCTGCGAATCACGACAGAGGTGGAGAACTCCGCAGGTTTTGTCCATCTCTCTCCCACCCTTAGTATTTCTTTTAGGGCTAATTCTTCCCTGCGAACAGCCCAGTTGCCTCTACCTGGGTCTGCTAATGGCTTTTGCAGCATGAGATTCACGTGAGGCTTGACAGGACCTGGGGAGCAGTGGGACACTCGCTGGAGTCCCCTTCGCTCTGAAGAGCTATTAGCTCTCTGTGTTGGTGCCAGGAGACATCATGGCATTGGTTTACGTCCACTTATATTTGGATAATTATCTTTATAACCATGAAAACAAAACCGTTTATAATACGTGGCTGCCTTCAGGTTTTCCTTTCCTCTTTCTCCTATGCATGGTCAGTTGAGAATTCCTTTCTTAATGGCGGTGGATGGACTAGCTTTGTAGGCCATTGGCAAAAGGGTACCTTCCTTTAGGATGTTTGTGGGTTACCCCTTAAGGAGAGAGAGGGATGTATTTGGCTTAGCAGAGGCTCAGTCCTTTCTGTTGAAGATGCTATGAAGATATTGGCCCTTGTAGTATAAAGATGTTTCTGGTTCTTTTAATCTCAAAACACTGGTGTTTGTTACCAGATTTTGGGTTTCATAGTCATCACAGGGTCATGGTGCCTTTACTGGTGCAGGTTTTTCTAAAGCTTTGGTTTAGAATGACTGACTGGTGCCTTTCTACACTTTGCTATTTGGCATTTCTGTCTAGTTAGACATATTACAGCAAAACAAAACACTGCCCTGTGTTTTCCTGCATAGTTTACCATTTGCAAAGGGCAAGAGACATGCTGTAAACAGAAGTGATAGTATAGAGCTAAAGCTGAGGGTCAGGCCTCAGGAATGATAACATCCATGGTACCTGGTCCAAAGGACTGCCGGTTCTGGAGTAATGAAGTTATTCAGGAATGATTAAATTTGAGCGGCAGGTTTGAGCTGTGAGGAAATGTGTAAGAGGAAACCACGTGTTAAAGTAACTACCTCCAGAAAGACTATTTTAAAAGATTCACCAAAGAAGCGGCCATTTAAATACTGCATTGGGCATTTTTTTTTCTTGTTTCTTGTCTGTAGAATGTCTAGGAAAGTGCAAATTTCTAATAAAGATTCTCTATCATTACTAGCTTCAGTAGCTTTTTGTTTAGAGCTAAAACTATATGGAGAAGGAATTTTTTTTTGCTTATTTCAAAAATATTAAGTTAATATTAAGTTTTTTTTAAAGCATTTTTCACCAACTTAGGAGGCAATGCCTGTGAAAGAGAAATCACTGCAATTTCTTTTACAGATTTTATAGCTATTATGTGAAAGTGTATATCCTTTTTAACAACTTTTCAGAAACCTGATAACCTTTTAGATTTGCTTTGATGTGTTAACAGTGTGGTTCTTAAATTGTCAGCTCTTTGAAAAGAACATTTCAAAACTGTCTCGGAAAGAAAACGTGCTTACTACATAGACATGCTGAGGTCTAGGTTAGAGGGGAGGAATCAAATCTGTGCAAGGGAACTGCTTCATTTTCTGCAGGAGTTGTGTAGCCCGCTGCTGAGCGCTGCCCCTGCCTCCCAGTCCTAGTTTGAGCGTGAAGAAGTAAAAGGCAGTTTGGGGAGCAAAATATGCCTGAGGCCACAGATGCAGAGGTGTGTGTCCGTGTCCTCCCGAGGTTTAGATGCGACGTGTATCAAGTTGTCGGGAAGGCGAATGCACAGGAATGCTCAGTTCCCACGGCTCTCCGGCGCAGTGAACAGCATTTGTGGTGTTACTGCAGGAGGTGGAAAAGTAAGAGTTAACCGCTGTACCACATGCAGGGCAGAGCAGCCCGTTGGGGGTTAAATTGCAGAGTCTAATGGAATAATAACTGGTAGCACCATCTGCTGGCCTACTTCCGCAGAAGGAGTCAGTATTTTTAACGACATCTCTAATATTCATGCTGATGCATTTTGATGCTTTGTGCATTCATTTCTTTCTGCGCTTTGTTGGAATCCGGCGCTCTGCTTGCGGCCCTCGCCGAAAGCCGGCGCTTGGCGGGAGCTCGCCGGGCTCCGCGGGCCCTGCGCGGGACCCTCGCGGGCTCCGTACTCGTCGCTGGAGAAAGATGTGGCTAAATCGCAGCGCGCGTCTGCGGAGGGTTGTGCGTACCTCGGCGGCAGCTTGCTAAATAGGCCATTTAGCAATCTTCTCTCAATGCTTTTCTTTTGAGCACTGCCTGGGGTGCTGAAAAAGCAGAGGGCAAGCCTTTGTCTGCCGCCAAAAATGTCTTCAGTGAAGAGGCCAAGAGGAAGGGTAAGTGAAAGCCTGAATGAGTGGGAGGAGGAGGGGTTCTTTGGGCTAAAAGGCTAATGGGATTGAATAACCTTCCTTATTACTGGCTGCTGCGGCGGGAGCCGGGCTGCATCGCCATCTTGAGCTGGGTGCTGTTTGCTCGAGTCTTGCCTGTTTGTGAGCGCCTGTAGGCCTTAAGGTGGCATTTCAGAGTGATCCTCCGCCTGCCGGGGCCGCAGCGCTGCTGCGAAGCCTCCGAGGCACCGGGACAAAATGGATCCAGTGAAGTGCACTGGATTTGGCCTGAAAATGTGTTTGGGAATTGCTGGTGGCTTTTCTTCATGCGGTAGTCAGAGGCGCATTTACGGGTGAGAACGTAACATAACTGTTATCTGCGGGGCTTTTTTGTCTATTTGAATAGGAAATTCTTTCCATTCCTCAAAGGGAGAGGGGGAGGGGAAGAGCAAAACATGTCTCATGGGCTGCTTAAAGGGAGGCTCGTAATTCCAGTATCCACTCCTGGGTAAACAACTCAGCCGAGATGAGGCTGTGATGAAAAGCCCTGGGCTCAAAGCAAGAGCTGCGTCTTCAAACTGATATATTGAACTTCACGTTGTTCTAAAGGAAATAAATACTACTGTGGGGTCTACTTACTAATATGCTGCTTAGTTTAGTTTTGGTTTGGTCTCTCTCTTCATCTTGATTTTGCTCAAGCGGCTGAACTGTTTAGCACTGGGTCTAGGTCTGGATCCTAGGTCTGCTTTATGGAATCTGTAGCCCCGATGTCTTAACAAAAACTGGAATACTTATGTTGTTACCTCTGGTAATTCTTTGCTCTTTCTGATTTTGAGAGGAATATTTATTGGGGATGTGTGTCAAATGAATGGGAATGTTTAGGAATCGGTAATTTTAACTGCAGAGTTGGAAAAAAGGGTAAGAAGATCTTAGAGACATTTATTTTAATGATTTTTAAGCATGTAGGAAATGAGTTGTGTAAAACCCAGCAATTGATGTAGTTATTCTGAAACCCACGCCATTCTGTGGTGAAGCAGAATCCCTTTCCTTCTTTGTTGTGTCCTTGCACAAATCCCTGACACTGTGTGTGTCTGTGTGTGTTGTTTTAGTGCAATTCCAGATTGAAAGCACTTGCGCATTTTCTAAAAGAACGTTCGAATTGTTAAAATAAGGGCATTTTGTTTACTCCTTTCATTTTTTTTTTTTTTTTTTTTTTTTTTTTAAACAGCCTCCTTCGTCCAAAAAGACTGATGGTTCAGGCTCATATACTAAGTTGCAGAATACCCAGGTGAGGGCAATGGCTGAAAAGAAGCAGAAGAGAAAAAACGACTCTGAAAGTAAGCAAGAGAAGGCAAATCGCATAATATCCGAAGCGATCGCAAAAGCGAAAGAGAGAGGAGAAAGAAACATTCCGCGAGTAATGAGTCCTGAGAACTTCCCCAGTGTTTCAGCTGAGGGAAAAGAGGAAAAGAAAGGCAGGAAAGTTAAATCGAAACCAAAGGACAAAGAAGGCAAAAAGACGAAAACTGGCTCTTCATCCAAAATTAAAGAGAAAACAAAAATTGGGTAAGTAGACGAAAATGTTTTTATTTCTTCTCAGTTTTCAAACATTGTGTTTAAAATGAAAACTGCTAACTCATTAAAAAGAATCTCCTTCACTGCCTACAGAAAATTCTTTCTGATTAAGTCCATGTGTGGACATTTTTTATTCAGGAACAAGAAGGCTTTGTTTTCTGTTTAGATTAAATCATTTTAGGGCTGTCCTTTGAAAAGAATAGCTTTCATATTTTAAATTCATAGCCTATATTATTCTGTGCTTTGAAGAATATGCCATACAAAAGTCTCTTTAAATTAAACTCAAAACAGATTACAGTGATAAATGAAAGTTTATCTGTTGTTATAAATGCTGTCTTTGTCAAAAGGGGCATATATCAATGCAGTATATAGGATAAAATGCATAGGAAGAAACTGGAAGTTTAATGAACTTGTGAGGAAGTGAATATTGATGTAGATATTGCATATGTTAAGTGTATGTTGGAATTTTTTTTTTTCAAGTGCTTTGTAGGCTTCAGTGCTATCAACTTTATCAGCCATCTTTCAACTTTGCAGACTTGGCTGGGTCAATATCTTGTTAAGGTACCTCCAAAACCTCGAGCTGTTAGGGCGTCAGTAGGAGACGCTCCTTCTGACTCGAGCCAGCCCCGTTCTGCAGCACGGCTTTAAAGGAAAGAACATGAATTCCGGTGCTAAATCTGTCAAGTAGGACTTGAAACAGAAATCTTAGCTATGGTGTGATTTTTTATTTTTGGAATACTATGCCCTTTTTGCAGTAACAAATAGTAACTGGCACATCTGTCGGGAATTAAATATCTTGCCTACATATTTATGTTCTTATATTTATGGAGCATAAATGCAAGTTCTTTTAATCAGCTCGTTTTCTGCACTCCACTTTGCAATTTCTCTAGGTTTGTGCTTGAGCAATATTGTAAAGTTATCCTGTAGTCCTATAGTTTAAAGGTTATTATTGTAAACTCTCATCAATTCTTGACCTGAGCCTTCCTGCTCTTTATTTCCTTCCATTCTAGTTATGGCTTGACATGTGAGTAATGTTCATTATGCTCCTTAACACTGCTTCCTGTCCCCCTCGCCCCTTCCCGCCTTCGTGGGGTTTGTGATATTTACTTCCAAAGTTAATTTCATTTTCATGTTCCTAAATTCAGTCATGTTCCACAACAGATGGACATTTCATATGTCTTTCGAATCTAGAAACTTAGCTACAACAGTGAAGTTGTCAGTCTCATGAAGTTTTATAGGGATAATTAACAATACCTACCTAACTATAATCATTGTAGGGTATTATCTTGTTTCTATAACTTTTTTTTTTCAAGAAATGTAAAGCAAGCTGTTGATTTATACTTCTTCAGACAGTTTTCTATCTTCATGAAACACTTAACTCTCCACATTATTTTGGATTTATTTTTGAAATATCACAAAGGAGTGTGAAGTGACAAGTGAATAAGATATTTTCCAAGCTGTATTTTTGAACACGATATTTGGGCTTGATCCCAAAATACTGAAGCTAGTAGAGAGTAGTTGATGACGGTCAACTTCATTTAGTAGATTTTCCTCAATGAGTCAAGGTTTGCCTCCCCGTTATTTCCCTGTTTAATCAGCTAATGCCCCAATAACACTTGATTAACTTCATCCTGCTGCCACGCAGTACTCTGACTGTGCATGGGACACGAAACTAGGGGTTTGCTAGTCAAACCCTGCAAAGGAGCAGTGCTGAGAGGCTCCCACAACAGCGAGTGTTATGGATTCTCCTGTTTCTATAGATTTTTGGTGGATAGTTGTAAATTTGATATTTTCTGGCTCATAGTTCCTTCACTTGATTTCTATCTAATTAGCTTTGTGTTGTTATAATTTGTGCTGCTCCATGACATAAATAAAATTGTTCCTTTATGACAATTATTATTTCTGGGCAATTTCTGTAGCAAACAAATATACTCAGCAGTAATCTGTAGGTGTGCAGATTCAGCCTGATTCTGAGTGAGCTTGGAGCAGCCCTGGGCATGGAGGTCAGGTTTGTTTTTCAGAGGACTCCAATTTGATTTGCAGGTGGTATAGAGCTAATCATATATAAATAATTTTGCCTTCTCTGGCTTCATATTAACTATTTATATTTTCCTTAGTGATTCATATAAGATGTTATATGAACAGTAACAACTAACAGCATGAGTCTTTTCAGTTTATCATCATTAGATATAAATTATTAGCTACTACTTTCCAGGCAGGCTACAGTTTAGAATATTCTAAAGGCGGCGATTAAAGTTTTTAATCCCCTGATCTATTGAAGTCAAAGAAATAACACCTATTAATTTCAGTCTGATGATTTAGAACTGGAGTCAGTAAATAAAGTTGCTGTGCCGCAAGCATTGGTGGAGATGGGAGACTGACTTCTTATTTCTGAGCTTGTTTTAAGTGCCTGACAAACTATGAAAAAAAATAATGCTTGTGTGATGTGTTTAGCATTACCAAATTATGTAACTGCTTTGTTTTATGCAGGGGTTACTTATCAAGTTAATTCTTTACAACTGACGCATTTTACAATTTTGGTGAGGGTTGCAGATCCACTTTGCTTATTCTGGGTAGCTGACAGTGCAGGGATGTTTAGGGATCTATTTAAAGGCTTAGCGTTTCTGCATAGAATTTGTTCCTATTTATGGGCTTTTCTAATTGATTATAATTCCAGTTCTTCCATTTAAGGTGATACATATTTAAACCAACAAGTGTACTTTAACACTACTTGATGTAAATGTTAGAAGAATTATGAATCCACGAACATGCTGTTGTTCACAGAAGTAGATTGGCATTTAGGTTTTGTAACTCTCGCTGTATTCCCACCTACTCAAACATAAAATTAAATGTCATGGCCCTAATGAAAAGCAGTAGCTTCACTTTGCTGGTGCAAAGGACAATATTGCTAGACTACATTTGGATTTTTTCTTTTTTTTTCCCTCTCCACTGCATAAATTAAAAAAAAAAAGATGAAAAAAAAAAAAAAAAGAGGAGACTAGGGGAGAGCAGTAGCAGTAGATTTGCAGGAGTTCAATTCAGGTTGGTAGCCCTTTAAGTTCAAAACTGTTTCCTGTTACCAGGAACATGCTGATTGTTTTGTGTACTAAGAAGAACAATGATGCATCTTCTTCTTTTAATATTAACCCTTAAATTATGTAGTACCTGAACCTAGCAAGACCTTTGCGATCCAGTGCACTGTGCAAATGAGCATACGTTGCTGTTGCCTTGAAGTAGGTGTCAGATAGACCCTTTACAATGCAGAGTATTTTAGTGACTTAAAATCATGGCAGCAAATCTTTATATGATCACTCTGATATGATACTGTTAAGATAGCTTGAATGCTGTCTATGTTCAGCAACGAGAGACATAAAAAAGAAAGGCAAATGATTCCCATGTTATGGTATTCCCACATCATTTTAAATGCAAGGGCTTCCTGTGGATTTCATGGGCAGCAGACATGATGAAGTTGCTTCTTGTAGCAGATCTCATGCAAATCGTAGCCAAAGGTCAGGCAATACCTCTGTGCTTCATGGGAAGAGACTTCCTATCTGCATCTCTGCTCCCAGCCGTGTCTCCTGCCGCCCGTTCTGCTGCGGCTGGAAGTGGCCCAGGCGCTCAGGAGCGGAGCCTCCTTGGGGCTGTGTTTGCCTGTCCCAAGCTCCGGCCCCTTGCTGGGGGTTAGCTGCACTCAAATTCTGCTTTTGATGCAAAAATGGGATTTAAGTAACATGATCTTAAATTTCTTTTACAAGATACACAAATGCAAAACAGTATGGTTTTGTCATCGAAGCCCAGCACTGATTTCTTCTCTTCTGTTGTTACTCTGATTCAGTATGAGTGTGAAAAATTGCTCACTTGAGACTAGCCTGGTGTTTTAATAATTAGTGCACAATTTGGGTATTTATATCAGATATAACTGGAGATGGAGGTGGTGGCTGACTTCAGTGTGCCAGCACTGCTTATTGAGCATATGCTAAAACGACAACAGGAACTTTTATTTACGTTACCATCAGTACCTGTGATTGCAATATTCTGTCAAGAGAAAGCCTGCTTTGCATTTTGCTAGTAGATAACTTTTTTTTTTTTATTATTGAATTAGTAAAGTACTACTAAAATACCTGTTGACAACAGATCTTTTATTGCTGGTAATGTGAGAAATGATTTTATTGTGAATTAAAATATCTGGGATGTGGCTGTTAGACATGCTAATAATGAGATACTTAGCGTTTTCTCTGTTTGGAGAAAATTGAAGTGAAATGATGCATCAAAGGCATGCATCAAAGTCCAGCAGTATCTTCTTATTTCTCATAAGCATAAAAGAAGTTTGCTGATTCCCTTTACTTTTTCTCTTTAGCCTCTACTCATTTTGGTTATTTGGAAGGCCTTGAAAGTTGTTCTTCACAATTTTAAAGCTGTTCAAAGTACTGACAAGTTTTCTGTCACATTTCTCTGCTTTCAAAGTGCCTGTGAGTTGCAACAGATGATTAGAAGTTTCTAATTCCTAATGAAGAAAATGCACAATTGAGAGATGTGTTCCTCAAACTATAGTGCATAGTGGTTGTATTAAGGATTAAAAGTAATAGCTTTTTCAACACTTACAATTTGTGGATACAGAAGAAATATATGTTGAAGAAATCAATATCTGCTAATTATAGTAGTATTTCTAGATGTTATGTAATAAGATCTAGATTTTAAAAAGCAAGAAAAGCCAACCTGGTGTTGAGTGCTGTGATTTTACTTGTGCTGTGCCTGCAGCGTCCTGTTTCTTTTCCGGAGAAAGGGAATGCTTTCTGTTCTGAACAGCTTGTTTCAGTGTAGAAAAAGACATTTTAGCCAAGGGTGTCTCTGCTTTCATGCAGAAATTAATAAGCTGAAGGAGAAAGGGAACTTGCTTTTTCAGGGAAGAATGTTCCAGGATTCCTACAGTTTACCAGCTCTTGAAAATCATTGTTTCCACATAGCAGATTTTTTAGAGGAGGAGCCTTCCCGCCCTGCGGCAGGTAGGGAAGGTGCTTGGGAATCACCAGGGAGGTGCTTGGCACAAGGCGTCCAGAGAAGAGATGAAGATGTAACTGCAAGAACCAAGGAAGACAGAGCAGTCTGCAGAGGAAGGGGATAACTCGCTGCTCAGACTGCCAGGGCCCAGCAGGAGGTGATCGTAAGGGGGTGCTGCTGAAGAGGAGGAGAGGAGAAGTGCCCGAGGAGAGATGGAGTCAGAGTGCGCTCTAGTCGCAGGTCACGTTCTCTGCGGCTGGTCTGCCTCCTTGGAGCTCCTTCGTGCTCTGCTCTTCAGAGGATGCTGCTGCCACCCCCAGGGGAGCAGTCAGGCCCTTTCTCAGTGGCACCAGAGCTGGAGGTAACGCCTGAAAGGAGCTGGGGCTGCAGCGGTGCAGCCGCTCGCCCTGGCAGCACTTGGCCTCTGCCAGCACACAGAGGATGCTCCAAACGTGGAGGGATGTCCAGAGGTGTCAGCTGGGGCTGCATCCCGAATTCTGCTAGACAAGACCATGCCTAAGGCTTTTGCCAGATGCTTTTGCACCCCGGCTTTAGATTTTTGTCTGCAACTAAAGCAGGCCCTGTATATATTTAATACTACTTCAATCTTTTTTTAAAAAAAAAAAAAAAAAAAAGTCTTCATTAAGTCTACTGATTAATGTGCTCTGTAAAATGGCAGAAGATAATTGTATGGCAGAACAGTTAACCTCTCTTTTTGGCTACACAGATATGATGATTAGATAATGTGTAAAATACATATTTTAGGCCAGCTCTTTATTTATCTGTGCTTTTGATGGGTAGTTTGTAGCCCTTCTGTGATTATTCCAATGAAAACATATTTGAAGAGTAATATTTATGCATTTCAAAATTTTAAAAAAATATTTTGACATATATTTTGTCATTTTTGTGTGGTTGACAGTGTTTTAATATGTGTTAAAAACAAATTAAATGATATGATTTACAGCCTAACCTTTAAATTTGAACTAAGAAGTAATTGGTACTTTTTCATTTTAATTTATCTAATTAATTCAGAACAAGATTGATTCTTGGAGTATTCTAAGAATTCTTAAACTGAAATGACTGTGTATTGAATACAGCTTCTCTGTTTGTTTGTTACATTGTAAAAATGGGGATTTTTGCAATTTCCTCAATTTAATTGTGGAATGGGAAAATTAGTACTTCAAATGGGTCATGTTTTAAAGAATATCAGATTGTTGTCCATAGCTGAAGTTTTATGAATTTAAGTAAGATATAATTTACGAAGATGAATTATTATTATTATTGCATCTCACTATTATCCTTTTCAGGCAATACCCATGCTAATTTTATCTGCATAGGTATGTCCGATTAGTTTAAATCTTTGTTTTTAATTCACCCTTAGTTATTTATGTATTGTAATTGTTTCAGATCTAAAGAAGTTTGAAACATTTGGATGATATTGCAAAGAATTTCAGTAGCTATAGCAAAAAAAAACAAAAGAAAAAAAAACAAAAAAAAACAAAAAGCAGCTACTATAAACTTGTAGTTTTCTCTTTTGTGAAATGTTTTTCAGTTTTGGGATGGTGGCAAAACCAGATTTAATAGCTTTTTTTTTTAAAAAAAAAAAAAAAAGGAAATCACTAGTAAATGTTTTTTTAATCTTGAAATGTAGTAAACTTTAGTACACGGTATTCACTTAGGATGTTTTGTTTATTTTTTAACAGGAAACTAATCATAACTCTGGGTAAAAAGCAGAAAAGAAAAAATGAATCTTCAGATGAACTGTCTGATGCTAAGCAGACTCCACAACGGGCACTGAAAGATGAAGACTCACAGGTAGGAAGCTAGAGTTTTCCTCTTGTAAATGTGTGTGTTTTGTTATTTCTACAGATTTCTTCTTGTTCACTCTGCAAAGTGATACATAGCTTTTCACACTGCAAAATTACTTATTCTCCTTAGTTTTGTAGTTCCTGGTTTTGAGAACAAATGGAATGAAATAATTCAAGTATCTTGTCTACCTAAAGCAGGAAAAGTTGGTGTGGCACTAGAGCCTGACCTACTCAGGTCTATTTGTTCGTTACATTTTAACAATTTAAGGGACTAGGGAATTTGGGGAGCTTCAGGGGGTTGTTTGTTTTGCTTTACAATTACCAAGCCAAACACTTTTAAAATTATAATATTTGGAATTAGCCTGCATTAAGAAAGTGATTATTTCTGCAAATTGATGTTCATGAATGTTATGAAGCAGCATGTTGCTCAACTTCAGACTGTCAAATGGCATGCTTTAACAAATACGTTATACAGGGAAGTGAATTGCAAAGAAAGTAAAAGAATAATTTTACCAGATCAGCCAGACAAAAGGTTGAATTTAACAGCCAGGAAAGAAAGTCCCCATGCTACAACATTACTGTTGCTGTAACATCTACAGTAAAATCCTATGTCCAATCTATGTATGAGCACAGAGTATTTTTTATTCTATTGAGAGTTTGTTCTTCCCTAACTGATTAGTGTGACTTTTTGCAGCCAATAGTGGTTGAGTAAATAAATGCATTTTGGTAAGAGAGGGTATTTTCTTTTGGTGAATTGATTTTTGTGATCATCAGTAAGGAGGTTCCACTCTGTTAATTGCACGTTATTAGTGAATGGGTTTAGAAATCAGTCTTAAAGTGGTTAAATAGGCTACGTCTACCGTGTTGGTGCGAATGGTGAGAGAGAGAAGGTGTGAAAGATGTGCAAGTATTTGAAGCAGTGAGATAAGAAGACATTTTTGTATTAGAGGTAGAATATTATTCTTCCAGACTGGAGCTGCTTGTTCTTAGACTCTCGCAGAAACAACAGTGGAAGATTCAGTGAGATCTTTGCAAAGAAAGCAAAATGCTGCTTTTAAACAGGCCGCATTAAGGTGGAAGACAAGAAAATGTGTAGAAAGCAACCAAATTTATTAGCAGTCAAATCAATGTTATGATTTAATAATCTCTTTAATTTCTGAAAATCTTTTTTTGTTGTTGCTTAATAGAGACACTTGAGTGTATTTTATATTTTGTGCTCATAGATTATTGAGTTGAGCAATAAGACCCTCTTGTTCTAATATTTCCTTCTGCCTTGGAAATTTTTTTCAAATACCGATGCTTTCTTACAAAAGACTTGCTATTTTTCAGCTTCCCTCCTCTACCCTGAAATACTCCCAAGTATTTTTGCTTTTGAACTCTAAAAGTATCAGTCTTTATATGTAAAGCATTAGGAAAAAGAGAGTAATGTTTTTATAGGTTGAAACATTGTTTTTAACTGCTTCCATCCCTCTGTGGTTCACATGCTTCGTGCTCTCCATCCAGTGTTAGCCTTAGATTTTTTTTTTTTGGATCTAGCTAAAATACTGTTGAAACAAACACCTCAAACCTAAAATTCACATTAGAGGAGGCTTTTGGTAAAACTTTTGTTTTTATTCTACTGCATGCAGAAGAGAAGATCAAATCGTCAAGTGAAAAGGAAAAAGTATGCTGAGGAAGGAGAAGGAAAGCAATCAGAAGAGGAGGCTAAAGTTGCTGTGAAAATCAAGAAGAGCTCTGCTCCGTTACCCGCTGAGCAGCCTTTGCAATTATTTGTTGTAAGTAAAATTTGGCTTCTTTTGTAGTGGCAACCTTCCAATTGTCTCAATAAGTTTAATGAATAAAGCTCACAATTTGGAAAACAAACCTTAGTAATACTCATCTATAGCTTATTTAACATGATATCTTGCCTAAGAATTTAAGAACTGGATTAATTACCCTTTTTTTCCCCCTTGTTTGGTTAAAAATGCTCATCAATTTAACTGAAGTAACAATTAAGGATAAGTACATCTTGAATATTCCTGTCTTCCCCCCTGCCCAGGTTCACACTTCACTGTGTGATTTGTGCTGGCTCTGATACCTAAACTTGTTGAGCCCTTCTAGGGAAATAAAAGAGCAGGAATAAAAGCAGTAGATGGTGCTAACGTGCTCTCAGGAGCACCAGGCTGCGAGAGAGCAGGAGGATGCCCAGCTGAACAAGGTGGATGGGAGGGATGGTGCTTTTTCCTGTGAGGAGCTGCCTTTGGAGATGGGCTCCGTGGCTCCAGAGCTGCGGTGTTGCCAGAATCTTTATCTTGCCTTTTCTGTGTAAATCCGGATATGTTGGCTATATCAGATCCACTGCTTACGGCATGCACAGTGAGTCTGGTTCTGGAAAGCATCAAAATCACTGCTGCTTGCACTGTAAACGTGTCTGGTAGGTAAGCATTGGGTCCGAAGCTTTTGGGAAGTGCCACACGTGCTGTGTTTTTAATTGTATTTCTCTTCTGCTATAGATCTGGAAAATCCTCCTTTTAAGCTGATCATATGCAAGCACTTCTTAAAAAAACAAACAAAAATGCCCCAAAACAAAACAAAACAAAAAAAAGCAAACAAACAAAAATTCCCTGCCTCACCTGTTCATCCAAACACTTTGCTTTAGTAAGGGATTGTAGTTTTTAAGTAGTATTAATCAAATACCTGTTGTGTTGAATGAAATAGACAATAGTAGTTGTCTGCTTATTGTTTTTTATTAAATAAAATTGGCACTTATGGCTAAGGTGGAATAGATACAATGTATGTATTTATTTATGTACTTCCAGACTGATGGAAAATGTTGCTGGTAGAAGACAAGCTTGCCTTTTGTTGATGATCTTTTAACAAACCGCTTGTTTAACAAACCACATGAGGGTCTTGAGGCTGATTGGTTTGCAGGGGGTGTTTACTGCTGTTCCTAGAGATGTCATTGTTTTCTTTCATTTATAGGAGAATCCAAGTGAGGAAGATGCAGCAATTGTAGACAAGATCTTATCCTCTAGGATAATAAAGAAAGAAGTAAGTGAAGGTCATAGTACGAAATTGCTTATTTGGATGTGTGCTGTGTCTATCTCCTCAATTTACATATCCCCTCAATTTTCTTTTTTAGGTGTCTGCTGGAATGACAGTGGAAACGGAAGAGTTTTTTGTAAAATATAAGAACTAGTAAGTGTTGTGTTTGATTGAGAAGGTCTTTACTTAAATGGCAATTGCTGTATTCAAGCTTTATTTTAAATGATAAATGATTTCTTATTTGAGTGAAACTCACCTTGATAACTCTGCTGTTATAACCGTATGCTAAAAATGCATACTAAGCTTTTGCTTTCGCTAATGTAACCTTAATCTCTGTAATTTTAGCTCCTACCTCCACTGCGAATGGGCCACAGAACAACAGCTGTTAAAGGATAAAAGAATCCAGCAGAAAATAAAGCGGTTCAAACTAAGGCAGGCACAAAGAGCTCACTTCTTTGCTGATGTGAGTATGAAATATGCAAATAAAAATGAGCTTTTTTCCCTCTTGAAAATGTGATTAAAAGTTTGTTATTAGATGGAATAGATAAAATATCGAGAAGTAAAATTTAGCTATCGGGATTGGGTTTTGGGTTATGGCAGGTGGAAGGGCAGGAGTGTTGTGGGTTGTTTATGTTTTTGTTTGTTTTGTGTTGCTGCTGTTGTTTTGTGAGTCTTGAAGATAGAAATGTAATTTTAAGGGCAGTTGCCTGCAGTTACTGAATTGACGTCACTTGCACAGTTTAAAATACAGGATTCTTTGCTAGCCACCTATAGTAGAGATGGAAGCATCTGGGAAAGACTTTTCCAAAACAGGGAATATGCAAGAGCGAAGATCTTATCTTAGTATGGGTGGTTTCTGTAGTGTACAACCTTCTAGACACAGCTGAACTATTGCACTTCGTTCCTCAGTGAGTCTGCATTTTCTGTTCTCATGTCGGATACCTCTTTGAGGCCAATTATCTCTATAAATATGGTGATTTCCTGGTGTGTGCAAAAGCCTCAATAGCTTCCAGCTGACAAATTCGTTTATACCTAATCATATTTGTGTACAGCAAAAAACGAGTATACTAAGTCTCAGGGTATACCAGCTTTTTTTGTTTCCCTGCTTAGAACTGTTTTTTAATAATTGTGCATTTCAGATGGAAGAAGAACCTTTTAATCCTGACTATGTTGAAGTAGACCGGGTATTAGAAGTCTCTTTGTGTGAAGATAAGGACACCGGTGAGGTAAATAGCAAAAAAATTGCTTAAAGCAAATCAAGAAGATAAAAGGTTAGGTAGTTGTATTTTTAGTAGATTTAAGATGAAAGCCTTAATGATTTTGCATCTCTCTGTGGGTTTATTCATTTAATGCTGTAGGAGTAGCTATGATAGCTTGTTCTCTTTTCTTATGTAGCAAAATTAACGAACTTTAGTAATTTCTGCCTTCATTTTCAAAAAGAAGGCATAAGAGTTAGAATTAGTACTTTCTCAGTGTGTGTGCAGCAGATTTGTCATTATTTCAATTTTTAACAAGATCATTGATACAAGCCTTTTCCTTATGTCTTCATGAAGTATCACTTTTAAATTTTGCGTCTAAATCCTTATTTGCTGACTCAAATTAAAACCATCTCTTTCAGCTCTTTAGACTTTTTTTTCAAGGTTTTCTTATACATGTCACAGCAGAGCTATAAAGCTTTCTATTGCACAGGATCTCTGTTCCAGCATCTTATGTGTTTGGCTTTTGAGAATGGAGGAAACATTCTGGGTAGCAACTCTGTGGTTAGATTTTTCTGTTTTCACAGACATTGTGATTAGGGGTGAGTGGAATTAAGACAAATTTCGAGAGCATATTTCTAGCTTCAGGGATCTACAGCAAGTAGTAAAATATGAGAAGGCAGAGATAAGTAGATGGAAAACACTGCATTCATTCCACCAAGGAATCTAGGAACTTAAACAGATTAGTACAGCTTCCTTTTAAACCATAGAAAAAATGTGATTTTTGTTTCCAGTGGTCTTATGTAAATTAACTGTGCAAATAGAAGTCATATTAACAGTCTGTAAACTAAAATAAAAACTGATAACATTCAGAATTTTTTCCTGCAGCCTGTTATTTACTATTTAGTAAAATGGTGTTCGTTGCCGTATGAAGACAGTACGTGGGAGCTGAAAGAAGATGTAGATCAAGCAAAAATAGAAGAATTTGAACAGTTACAAGCTTCCAGGCCTGACTCAAGAAGATTGGTAAAATTATACTTAATTTATTTGTCTGTCTTGGCAAACTGGATGTGCTTTTATTAAATGTAAACTTTTGAGTTAAAACATAAGGTTTATTGACAGTAAAGGATTGGTGACCTTTGTTACCTAGAGGAAAAAAGAATTCAAGTAGGCATAGATGAATATTTTCATCCATTTGTTTCTTTGTTAATTTAAAAGTATTTTTTTTCTTCATCTTGAGGGAGCAATATGAAGTGTTATGACTTTGTGTGCAGTGCATTCTAATTGTCTATCACAAGATATAAACATCATTATGATGAGTGGAAAACAGAATAAAATATAAACACCCTTTCTTCCATAGAAAACAGAGTTTCCTTGTGTTTCAACACTGAAGGAAATTGGCAGAGATCTACCAAGCAGATTTCATAATTACTTCCTGTTTTTATTTTTCTTCTTTTCATAAATGTCTAGCTAAGAGAGAGACATACGTATAATGAGGAAATTGGTTTTATCATTAAATTATGAATCTTTGGCCTCATAGAATAGGAGAAAAGAGTTCCTGTATTTGAAGTTGTCTTATTGCCACGGAGTAAGGCATATGTCCTGCGTGGTGCAGTGCAACTCCTGTTCTAATTTATTTACCTTACATAACTGAATATGCACAGGATTTTAATTTATAGGCTTTGGATTTTATTTTAATGCTTTCTCATCCCTGGATAATTACAGAAGTCATGATTAGCCTCTTTAGATGATGTCCGCTGCATTTTTTTTCTAGTATTTTTTTAAAATGCTGCTATTGAGCACATGAGGAGGTTTATAAATCTGTTTGACCCTGTTTCCTTTTGAAAGAAAAAGATGATTAAAGTACAACTGTGGGGCTGGCAGCCATGGGCAGCAGCAGCCCTGTCTTCCCCGCCAGGCTCCAGAGAGCACAAGGCAGTGTTTGCTGCCGGCGGCTGGCGGAGCTGGAGGTGGCTGTGGGAGAGCAGCCAGATGGCTGTGGGTGAGGGAGAGCAGCTACAGCTGCTGGGGAGGACGGCGAGCGCAGCAGGCGGCCTCGCGCCGGGTGGTGCTGACGCTGGCCATGGAGACACGCAGTCGAGGTGTGTAATTTACAGCTACCACATTGGGCTGCCTGGGTTTGGTACATGTCTCTTTCCTACAGATAGCTTGCTTTAGTTTAGCAGCTTGAGGTAGGAATGCAGAAGCTGCCTAAAGACACTGTCTGTCACTGGTGTCCTACACAGTATCAGTTGAATAGACGATGGTTGGTCTGCTGTGCGGCCTACGGAGCCTGCAGGCCGGGGAGGCTGCGTGCGTGCCAGCCCTCAGCTTGTCTGGGGCTCTTGTGGGAGATGGTGTCCTGATACTGTTACAGGCTTCTTGTGTCAGTCACGTTCGTGTTATGATCCTGTGTTTGCCGCCACCGTTCATTTGATCGCTTGGTGCATTCAGGGAACTCAACCACCCACACGTTGACTTTTCTTGTCATCCTGGTGCTGGCTTCCCGAGTTGGCTGTGTGGTCAGATGAACATTAGTGCCCAGCACTGGTGCTGAAAGCAAGGGCCGGAGCCCAGTACCTTTGACGTGGCTTGGCCCAGCCTAGTGGCAGCTTTAGAATCCAGAGTTACTCGAACTTTTGGCATCCTCATAGTCCCACACATCTGGGTGGCAGTGGTTGTGGGACAGGTGTTCCTAGAGCTTCCGATGTGAAACATAAAAGGTTCTCAGCAGGTTCTTTGAAGACTCATTGCTGTATAAAGGAATTAGTGTTTCACATGACCTGGGTGAGGCTATTTGAACTTTCATTTTTAGAAATTGGTTGTTTCATCTTACTGCTTTAAATTTATTGTTAAATTATTAATTTCTGTAGACACTAAACTTTAGATTTCTACACATTAGTAAGTGATGTTAGCATGATCCCTTCCCATCTTTAAGACTGAATAATTATACCGAAAGTTGTTACATTCAAGAACTAATAGGTAAAAATGTTTTTAAAAAAGGGAATGTGTGCCAACTTGCAAATGTATTCATTTTTCCCTTAAAGGAACGACCGCCTCCAAACTCTTGGAAGAAGATAGAACAGTCCAGGGAATATAAAAATGGCAATCAGCTCAGGGAATATCAACTGGAAGGACTTAACTGGCTCTTATTCAACTGGTACAATAGGTATATGCATGGAATATTTTTAATGTAATTTTTAAGACTCTCAAGTGAATGTATTGCAGTGGATGAATACTGTTTTAAACAAACTTAACCTCAACTTTTGGCTAAAACGTATAACTAAAAGAAATTTGTAGTTTCTCTTGTATTTTTTATCAGAACAGTCTATGGTGGTTTTTTAATGAAGCTTAAGATGATGTTGCACTTGCATCTTTCAAAATGATGTATAGAATTAATATATATTTCAAGTTAATTCTTTTCATGAACAAGAGTAGTAGATAATTGTATTTCTTATATTAAAGCTCACTTAACTTTTGGTCATTAATACTATAATATATTAACTAGAATTTAATCATTGTTTGAAGAGTATTGCGTCTGTTTTTCAAGGCTTTTTTTCCCAAAAAAGTATGAATTTTCTCTACATCTAATTCAGGTATCTGTCTGTGAATCTTCCTGCTTTCTTTATTTCCAAAGTATCAATTGCCTTCTCTTCACTGTTTAGGCATATAGTTTCATCATCTGAATGGAAAACAAACAAACAAACAAAAAAACCCAATCTGTTAGAGTCAAAGCCACAAAGGTCTTTCAGGAGGGGATGAGAGAACTGGGACTGTTCAGCCTGGAGAAGTAAAGGCTCAGCGGGGACCTTATCAATGCATAGAAATAGCTGATGATGGGGAGGGTGAGGATGACAGAGGAAGGCTTAGTGACAGGATGAGAGGCAATGGACACAAATGGAAAGGCAGGAAATTCCATCTGAAAATAAGCAAGTCCTTCTTCACTGGTAGTCAAACCTTGGCACAGTTGTCTGGAGAGGTTGTGGAGTCTCTGACCTTGTTGATACTCAAAAGCCATCTTGACATGGTCCTGGGCAACCTGCTCCAGATAATCCTGTGGCTGAGGTCACTGCAGAGCTCCTGGGCACCGAAGTGAATGTGCGTGGTGAAGGCGAGCACATAGTGGTGCTTTGGGCACCAGCCTGCTGGTTGTAGATCCGTATCCCTTGGGCAAAGAGAGGGTGAAATTTGGCAATGGTTTGGCAGCATTTATGAGCATCTTCTGCAGTGCCACAGCTTTGACTGTTGTTTTAAATTGGTGTATTTGAGCTTTGTTTTCATAAACATTGCGTTTCCGTAGCAGCTCTAATGACTGTACTTTCTTTGACCCTAATAACAAATAAATATATCTTACTTTCAGACGAAATTGCATTTTAGCGGATGAAATGGGTCTTGGCAAAACCATTCAGTCCATTACATTCCTCTATGAAATCCTGCTGTCTGGTATAAGGGGGCCTTTTCTGATCATAGCTCCGCTTTCCACTATAACAAACTGGGAAAGAGAATTTCGCACATGGACTGACCTTAATGTTGTAGTGTATCATGGAAGCATGATCAGCAGACAGATGATTCAGCAGTATGAAATGTACTTCAGGGACTCTCAGGTATTGTAATATCACTTGCATCCACTAACTTACCCCAAACCTCTTTAGTAATGAAAAATACACTTTACATAATCTGCATAAATGTCTTAGTGAAGGTTATTTTCTGTATCAACATGTTGTGGCTTTATGGTTTTTACATGTCAGTCTTGAAGATGTGCTTACGGATTAAGTCCTATGAAGCTGATTGCAGCAAGATGTGCGTTGTTAGAACATGCTGAGCAATTTTGCAGTTGAGTAGCATTGACACTGGCATTTATGTGGAGGTTAAGTGTATGCACATAGTTGCATTTGGACCCTGAATTCGAAGGAGAGTGAGAAAGAAAATGTAGTCCATTAAACCCTACGTTGCCTTTAGGTAGCTATTAATTTCCTTTTCCTGGAGTAAACTAACCTGGTTCATTTTAGAGTTTACGTTTCTGTCTTAATTACTTTAATTGAAATAAAAAAAAAAACCTTAGTGTTTTTAACATTTTTGTCTGTTTTTCTGTATAGGCAAATAATTTTTTAAATTATCCTGCTATTTTACAAAATTCGTTAAGGCTATTTTAAAAAAAAAAAAAAAAAAAAAACAGCTTTCTCTTTGAACAAAGTCTTGAGTATTATAATGACATCTTGTTTCTGTAGTGAGTTACTGTGTGCTGTCTTATGGAAGACCTGACATTTCCGCTTTGTCAGACTAATTGACTAAAGCAAGTTAGATAAGTTAAAAGGCGTTCATCTAATTCTCACTGGCTCAAGTGATCTATTAATTTTTTTTACTTGCTGTTTGAGTCCTAGGTGTATTTCTGTTGTGTATTTTAATTGATTGTAGATTTCTTCTGTCCATCATTTTTTCAGATTTTAATGGGATTATAAAAGCGTTATCACCACTAAACTCCTGTTGCAGTAGTTTTATTAGATGGCTATATCCGTAATTAAGAAGTGGTTAGAATTTTACTGTTGGTTAGACAGTGTTGGTTTTTTGATGATGGATAATAATTCATTAGTATTAATTACAGAATTACATAGACCTACTAGACATGTATGGGAAGATAAAACAGTTTGTAACATAAAATCTCATGTCTGGTTTTGGATAGAATGTCAGTGATGAAATCTGTGGAGTAGATTCATGGAATATGACAAGGGGTGTGTGTCTGTACATCTCTAGGGCCGCATCGTTCGAGGTACATACAGGTTCCAGGCCATTATCACTACTTTTGAAATGATTCTTGGGGGCTGTCCAGAACTCAATGCGATTGAGTGGCGATGTGTTATTATTGATGAAGCACATAGACTGAAGAACAAAAACTGCAAACTCTTGGAAGGACTAAAACTAATGAACCTTGTGAGTAGCTATATTTCACTTACTTGATTTTACTTTTTTTTTTTTTAATAAAGTTATTTAAGCGTTGTACTGTAACAAGCTTGATTACCAGAAGACTCGCTGGTGATAACTGTTCTTGATACTCTGTTCAAATATATGGTGGTATATTTTAGAGGGAAATGGGGAAAATGGGATGCTAGTTAACTCGAAGCAGAATCTATTTCTGCTAGTGCTTATAATTGTCTATTTTGATTATGATTTTGATCATTTTTAGTAATAAGTTCTAATAAATTTCTGACTATTTGAATAACGATACATTAAAAAAATAGAAAGTGTATTAAATTATTTGTTAGAGACAAATTATCATAACACCACTAAGCAAGTAGTGGAACTTGAGAGGATGATTAGATAATCTCATACTCCAGGTATAACATGATTTTTTGTATGTTTGTGTACATGTATCTTGTACAAGATGCACCATGACTACTTTTTTTTTCTCTCATCAGACCTTTACTTTAGTTTAATAGTTGATATATCTTTCAAAGAAGATATATAAGCTGTCTGATTTGGCTTCTGTTATATTGAGAGGAGGGATTGTTTAAGTGTCCATATACAAATGAGAAGTTGTTCAGTCATTTCTTAACTGCTTAGCTCTAACTAGATGAGCTGATTCACAGATGCCAGAAGACAAAATACATAGAAAAGCTAAAAGAAAATACTTAGTTTATCTTTTATAAATACTTTGGTGTGTATTATATACACTTACTAACACTCAGAAGGGCTCCTTTCAGGTTATGATACTCAGAATCAACAGAAATGTTTAGTAGGTGTCTGCATATAAGCTCATACAAATTTTCCTTCTTTCTCCCTTTTTTTATAGGAGCATAAAGTGCTGCTGACAGGTACACCACTGCAGAACACAGTAGAAGAATTATTTAGCCTCCTTCATTTTCTTGAGCCGTTGCGTTTTCCTGGGCTATCACTTATGGGTTCTTTTGTCATGCATTTAATTTCTCTAATCCATGCAGGTGGTAGGAAACAGTTGAAATGTAATAACATTATCAGATTAGTAAAAAAGTCAAGGCATCATCTTTGGGATATTCTGAATTAAAAAGGCAATGTCAAGTATTTTTTCCAATTTCTTCTTTCTGGTTATATTTAGAGCTTCATTTTACTTTGAAAAATACTCTGATAAATTTAAATAGATTAAAAATAAAAATAAAAATTACATTCTTCTGGAAAATGTTTCATCCAAATGTAGAATTTTCCATGGTTTGGATTTAAAAACCTTTGAGTTACACCATGCCATTACTTGTATATATGTTCCAACTAATTGTTTTGCTTCATTCAGGTTCAGAAACTACAAGCCATCCTCAAGCCCATGATGCTCCGACGATTAAAGGAAGATGTAGAAAAAAAGCTGGCTCCTAAAGAGGAAACTATAATTGAAGTAGAATTAACTAATATTCAGAAGAAATACTATCGAGCAATTTTGGAGAAGAATTTTGCTTTCTTATCCAAGGGAGCAGGGCAAGCAAATGTACCAAATCTAGTTAACACTATGATGGAACTCCGAAAGTGTTGTAATCACCCGTATCTCATTAAAGGTAAATGCCTGATAAATTAAGAGTTATCACTTATTTAAAGTACTTCTGTACTTCGTTTTAAAGTATATAAGAACCTCTGTTTGGAATATGTTGCATTGTGATCAGACTTCTCAAATATTGAATCAGGTGGGAACTTTTTTTTTTCTTTTTGGTGGATATAAAGTTAACTTGAGGCAGTTGCAAAAAAAAAAAATGCTAAAAATGGCATTATTTACTTGCATAAAACACAAACCTGACCCTGAGTGATCAATGTGGCAAATATTTTTGGATGTGCTGTCCCTGTCACCATCACCCAGTTCCATGACAGTAAGACATAGTCACAAGTCACTGAAAGGATCTCCTATGTATGGCCCTTGTTTTTGTGACTCAGGCTTTTGTTTAACTGTGGAACCCCTTTAGTAAGTACAGGAAAAAAGGGCAAAGTTTGGATTTAAGTAAACAGTCAAACAATGCATTAATTAACAATTTATAGGTAAAAGACCAAGACACATATTTGCCCCAAAATAAACTGTTTATTTTGAGGCTTGCTTTGTGAATCTATGAATATATTTGTGTGCATGTATATACAGATGCTGTTATATGTTTTTTGATAGGTGCTGAAGAGAAAATTCTTGGAGAGTTTAAAGAAACTTACAGCCCAAGTGCTCCTGACTTCCATTTACAAGCAATGATCCAATCTGCTGGTAAATTGGTTCTGATTGATAAGCTTCTTCCTAAAATGAAAGCAGGAGGCCACAAAGTGCTTATCTTCTCTCAAATGGTGCGCTGTCTTGATATTTTGGAGGATTACCTTATTCATAAAAGGTAAAGTATTGCCTATTTTATCTTCCTAGTATGTTATTCTCAGTGGGCGTATCATTAGCTGTTTATTGCAGGATTAATGATTACAGCATATCAAAGGTAGGAGACCACTGTCTTGTTGTTGTTCCAATTACTTTGTAACTTCTTTTGCTCTGTGATATGTTATCAGTTATTCAACACCGGAAAACTTGAGAGGGCAACTAAAGAAAGGTTACTGAGTAAGCAGTGTGCCTTTAGTGTGCCTTTTCAAGGAATTGTTCTTGTATGTAGGTGCTGTTTACACATTGCCTATCAGAAAGCTTGTAAGGTCCAGCTCAACATTGTTTGTCTAAACAGGAAGCATATAGGAAGCATGCTATTTATGCTTTATTTATATCATGTTGGACTTGGGCCAGTTAGTCCTAGGGGAAGTATCGCTCCTTACTCCTTAAGTAACATTGTGCACCTACATTTTTTAATATAAGGCACTTGCGCTTATTTAAGCATGTGACTAAGTACTGCCTGTACAGCCTTAGCATGGGAAGTCTAGGCTTAAACGTGCAGTTCAGATCAGTAATTGTTCTTTTAGCCTGTAAAACTCCAGAAAGTTCCGGGTTGATTGTTTTAATAGTTCAGTTGTTGGCTTGGTAAATACTGCTTTGAAGGTTATACTTGTCAGTGGACTGTCTCATAATACAGAACTAATTTAAAAATAAATAGTAATAGATGTAAGTGCCTTCATGCAGTGAATACTGTAATGTGGAAATCATTTGCGAATTATATTTATCTTTCATTATCATTCTATATAAGTTTCAGACTTTTGGTTACATGAAGTTGTTAATTTGGACTCGAACATGACATTTTGTGTTCTGTATGTGTGGATTTCAATGCACTGACTGAATCTTTACTTCAGTCATACACATATTTCAATATGAAAATATTCCTTTTTTTGTAAGATTGTGACAGCTAGACTGGTACAACCATGCTGCAGGTAGAATCTTTTGAAATCCACAGAAGTTAATGTGCCTTGTGCTGCCCTGGGAGCATAAGTGTTGGAGAGCCCACACCATCTGAGGTGACACTGGGCAGAATTGCCAGCTCCAGGAGGTGGCTGCCTGCCAAAATGCCTGTGGTCCCGTGGATTATCTGCTGTGCTACTTTGCAGCTGATTAGAAGAAAAATGGCTGTGAAGCTTTTGGTCTAGCAAATAGACCAAATTTGGCATCTTGCTCCCTTTACAACCTGCACAAGTGTTTTGCGGCTTTCCTTTAAGCTAGGTTGAGACATGTAATTTGATTTCAGAAGTTTCAAAGGAGTCTTTGTATTTATCAAATGTGCTAAAAAAAAAAGGGGCTGTTGAACTCTAGTCTCTTAATTTTGCCAGTTTTAGCTGAGGAGGTGCCAAGTTCATTGAGCCTCGATAAAGACAGTGTCAGAGGGCTGGAAGTCAGCTTTGTTCTGCCGCCGCAGCTCTTGGCGGACAGGACGAGCAGTTTCTGCTCCGTTTATGCCGTTCACCTGTGAGAGTTGAGGCCATGGGGTATCTAACAGGGCAGGATGCTGCTGTGCTTGGGGGACCTCAGGCAGCGATCCAAGAATAGCATGTGAAAAACTTACAAATGTCCATGTTGGACTTGATTTTTGTGGCATGTTTGAATACAGCTAAATGCCATGGTAGCGCATGTTCCCTGCTAGGTATAATCAGGTTAATCAGAATAACAGTTCTGCTTTTCAGAAGAATTTACCATTTCATTGTTATGACTTGCTTGATGTTACTTGCCTTTTACTACTGCCACTATGATAGTATGATTTCTGGTTATGTTATTTTCCTTTACCTGGTAAATAATTGTGTAATAACCTTTGTGTGTATGTGTGACAATTTGCAGGTACTTATATGAGCGGATTGATGGGCGGGTAAGAGGGAATCTGAGGCAAGCTGCCATCGACCGATTCAGCAAACCCGATTCGGATCGGTTTGTCTTCCTGCTCTGCACCAGAGCTGGTGGCTTGGGCATTAATCTGACAGCAGCAGATACGTGTATAATTTTTGATTCTGATTGGAATCCCCAAAATGATCTGCAGGTATTTTTTTTTTCTTTTGCGAAAGTAATAATCAAGGCCAATAACGTCAATTAACAAACTTAATGACTGTGAATTTGGTTACTATAAATGTTATCTTTGTTTTGAACGTGCATTATTTCCTTGTGTTCATTTTTTTTTTTTTTCCTTTGAGGCGTATGTTTAAAGTTTCTTGATGGGTATTTTCTAGGTGTAAGTCATCTAGGTTCCATATTTCAGCTTTGTGCTTCAGACTAATTTTTCTTGAAATGCAACAGCGTATATGCGGCTAAATCAGTGACTTTATAAAATTCCCAAGATTCACGTGCCTGAAGCTGAAGCAGAATCCATTCTGAAGTCATGACTTAGTCAGCATTTGTATTTAGAGATATGACAAATTGTGGCACAGTGTGTCTTTCCAATACGATGTTTTTATCAGAGAAATACCTTTCAGCAGTGTTCAATGCACATCATCGCACCGCATCGCACTCTGTTTTTTTGAGTTTACAGGAGTGTTTGTGGCATGAAAGGTATCTGATAGCTTCCACTTAAGTCATGTCAATTGGCTTCCTTTCAAATTAATTAATGCTATTTAAGATGACACTATGGTAGAACAATTTTTTTTTTTTTTAAAGAAAAAAAAACTTAGAAGTTTAAATTTTCATTTCTCTTCTTCCTCCTTTTAAAAGGCTCAAGCCCGTTGTCACAGGATTGGTCAGAACAAAGCAGTGAAGGTCTACAGGCTGATAACCCGCAACTCCTATGAGAGAGAGATGTTTGACAGGGCAAGTCTGAAGCTGGGGCTCGATAAGGCTGTTCTGCAGAGTATGAGCGGCAGAGAAAACAGCGTTGGTGGCGTACGTGGATTTGTTTTTTGGAATAATTATTCTTTGTTGTATTTTCTGATGTTGGTTAAGGATATCTGATGTTGATTGGCATAACTCGGAAAAATTAGTCACATTTTCTGATAAATTATCTGATAAAATTTTCATTAGTTGTTATCTCATAAGGTCCTAGGTAGATGATTTCAAAGTTAACACAGTTTGCGTTGTTATATCTTCCTGAATTGATATAATGTATTACTTGTAATATCTCACCTACACCTGATCTTATATTAGTTATTTTTTAACTTATCTTCTTAACTGCATTGATACTAGCCTTGACTGAAGCAAGGTACTAGCAAAAAATTGTCACAGTAGCCATACGCTATTATTTCAATAGTCAACTAGACTGTTTTCTTGGTGTTTTAAATAATCTAAATTTTAAATTGATAAATTAAATATATAGATAAATTGCAGAAAGGAAGCAAGAAATAAAAAGAGGCTTTAAGGCACTTTTTCCTAGTGTGCTTTATTTATTTATTTATTTAACATCTATTTGCTTGCTCAGATACAACAACTCTCTAAGAAAGAAATAGAAGATTTGCTTCGAAGAGGCGCATATGGTGCCATTATGGATGAAGAAGACGAAGGCTCTAAATTCTGTGAGGAAGACATTGACCAAATTCTGCAGCGTCGTACTAAAACTATCACAATTGAATCAGAAGGAAGGGGCTCTACATTTGCCAAGGTACAGAAGCAGCAAGCTATTCTTCGACCATTTAGAGTTTTAAATTTAGTTGAAGAATGTTATAAAGCTTACACTTGAAAAAGAAACACAACATTGTATTAGGCACTTTTCTTGTGTTCTTACGTTTCAAATCTTTAATAGACATGTATATTTGGCAAACTACAATTTGCTAATTCATAGTGAGTAGATGTCACACTGAGGGACATGCTTGAGCAAAGTCAAGAGGTAGGTAATAGGGTAGCCTTTTGGAAAGGCCAGGGCTCATGTGTTTATGCTCTAGTGCACTGCACTTGGCAAGAATATTAAAATACTATGTATTTTAATATGTGCTTTGATATATATTAAGCATAGGGGAAAAATGCAAATCTTTAAATATTGCATGATAGATATTGATAGATATTAGAGAGATATAAATGTTGCATAAAAATGCAAGTCTTTATGGTTGTCATACTGAATCTAAAAATGAACCCTTCTGCTAAGAAATGGTAGAGCAGAATCAGAATGCTCCTGAATTATAGGATACAGACGTAAAGGCACAAGCATCTTCCAGCCTCATGTTCTTCCATCCTGATGGTTCACTGTTTTTTTTTTTGATATCCTATAAATCTGCCTTTAAGATGGAGGAGATCTTTTGAGTTACTTGGCACTGTCAGTCACTTTTGGAGGCTTTCCGACTGCTTGGAATATTTTGACGGGATAAAGCTATGCAGTTTTAGCAGCACTCATTCAAGCTATGCCAACTTTCAATGTATGATGTTGTTAAGAGTTTTGTTTTTTAAAACAGGCTAGTTTTGTTGCATCTGGAAACAGGACTGATATTTCATTAGATGATCCCAACTTCTGGCAGAAATGGGCCAAAAAAGCTGAAATTGATATTGAAGCGATCAGTGGTAGAGTAAGTACCTATCTGTTACAATGCATGTTCTTTTAAGTATGTACCTACCGTTGAGTTCTGTGAAAACAGTGATTTTTTTTGTCCTTTTTTGCTTAATATTTCAAGCAATCAGATTTATTTATTTTATTTAGGGTTTATTTTCACATAGCAGAGACCATGGATGTGCCTGTGCAAATAAATTTTGGCACTATGGTATGAAACTCAGTTTTTGTTGCCTTAAACACCAGACTGTTACACTTGTTTTACATGTTTTCTGTGACTTTATTTAGAATATCTATTAATGATATTGGAAAGCACATTTTCTAAGCACATTTCATTTTCTCAAGACATCTATTTGAGGGAAACTTCGCATCTGGTTTTGATAAGTTTTGTTTGAAATTTTGCAGAACAGTCTGGTTATAGATACCCCAAGAATTAGGAAGCAGACGCGGCCGTTCAGTGCTACGAAGGATGAGCTGGCTGAGCTGTCGGACGTGGAGAGCGAGGGCGATGACAAACCCAAACTCCGCAGGCCTTGCGACCGCTCCAATGGATATGGGAGAACAGAGTGCTTTCGGGTGGAGAAAAACTTACTGGTCTATGGGTATGGTATATGGCCTATTTCATTCCTGGAAGCTGACAGAACAGAGTATTTCCAAGTACTGTATTTTGCTTATGGAATAAGTTTTAGCTCTCTTGGCCAAGATGAATATAGATTCTGATCAAATAGAGACTGTGTGTGTGTAAATAAGTTTAATACTGTGTCTATTTAGGGTGGTCCTAAGCACTAAAACTTGTTAATTATTGTAAAAGACGTAAGGCATAATAAAATACATAGATGCTGCTAATAATCATATGCATTTAAAATTAACTTTGGAAGTCTTTGTATAGGTGGTATGATTTACCTTGGCCATCTCAAGCTATATAACACAGGTGCATATGTGCTTACACTGTTACATGTTGCTGCTATTGACAGCATGTATAGCCTTTCTTTTAGCCTACTTAGACTTATTTATAGCCTACTTTGTTACGTATTTGAAGGAGTTCCTGCTTTCATACTTCCAAGTTGGCAACCTCTTTGGTTTTTAGGAAGAGTATGTTGATGTGGACTGCACATATGATATGGTCAGTCAACATACTAGGTTTTAGATGAAACATGAAATCTAGTGTATATATAGAGAGATTTCATGATTCATATATAGATTTCATATCTATCTATCTATATATATGAATTTATTTAGCATGTGAATTTATTGTGCACCCTATATAATTTTTTCTGACAATTTCTAATTGAGGAACATTAAGGAAGAGAGGAGAAAAATCTTTCTTCCAAAGAGATAATGCGCAATTAACGTTGGCCCTACAGAAGTCTCTGTAAATCCATTACAGAATAGAACAAGGTTTTCAGTAAGTGCTGCAGGCAGGCTCAAAAATCTGCAAGTAAATAAGCCTCAGTAAGGGGCTGTGTGTTCATGACAGCAAAACATTTTGCACTTCCATGTGTTTTGAATTGGAACTGAAAATCTAAGCAGTTAATTTAAGCAAATTAAAATCAAATATGTTGATTTGTGAATATAATTTTAAGCCTTTTTTCTCTCCCACCTTAAAAGATAAATGACTATGTTGGTGCATCAGTATGTACCTATCAGTACTGTGTTTTAAAAGCCTTCAACACTCATCCATGTTTTTTAACAGGCAACCCACAGAGTTGTTTGGGAGGTTACTTTAACATCTCTACCCAGTAACTTAAATAGAAGGAAATAAAGTTTAAAAAAAAAAAAGAAAAAATAATAAAAAAAGAAAATCTTAGAGAAGCTCCTTTTTGGGAATTAAATGTACAGACTGCCTGGCTGCTTCACCGTGAAATGCTGATGTGTGTTTCTCTTTGGACCAGATGGGGCCGATGGAGAGAGATTTTGTCGCATGGTCGCTTCAAGAGACAACTGAATGAGCAGGATGTGGAGATCATTTGCCGAGCTCTGCTAGCATATTGTCTTGTTCACTACAGAGGGGATGAGAAGATAAAAAGTTTTATATGGGATCTCATTACCCCAACAGAAGATGGGCAAACACGAGAGCTGCAGAATCACCTTGGTAAGTTCCTGCAATTAAATAGCTTTGTGGGCATCTACCTGTAATGCAAAAAGGATGTGAGGATAGAATTTTTTCTGCAGGTCACACTACTGATATGGGATATAGTAATTATAAAATATCACAAGGAGTCTATGTATACCTATTGCTGTCACTATTTTGTATTTTAAATTACATAGGTTTGTCAGCCCCTGTGCCTAGGGGAAGAAAAGGAAAGAAAGTGAAGACCCAAGCAAGTACTTTTGACATACACAAAGCAGAATGGCTTCGAAAATACAATCCAGAACATCTGTTGCAAGATGAAGGATATAAGAAGCACATAAAACACCATTGCAACAAGTAAGCAGTAATTGAAATTTGAATGTTTTTCAGATTTCTGGAAGGTTATTTTTTCTTCTAATTCTAAAGGGAAATGGCAGTTTGTTAATATCAGGATTTTATGGAGAAAGGGAGGAGTCTTCTGCTGCCCCCATCTTTTTCTAGCATTTGAAAGAAATTTTACAAATAAATGACTTGTAGAAGTAGTTGTAATTGAGGATGAATCTAAGTGACCTCTTAATTGGAGGTTTTTTTTCTTGTACATCAAGACAGTGATATTTTTGGAAAACCATTGGAAGGCTTTGCAGTGTCACAAAAATTAGTGAAAGCTGTTAGAGTATTAATATCTATGTGTTTTTTTTTTTTTCTTTTTCCCCTTAGGGTCTTGCTTCGAGTAAGAATGTTGTATTATTTAAAACAAGAAGTCATTGGTAATGAATTCCAAAAGGTGTTTGATGGAATTGATGCCAGGTGAACTATACAGAGTTTTTTGCCTGTTTTTTTTAAATATAAACTATAAAATGAAAACCTAGGATTATTTCTAGATGTAAGTAAGAATTATAACAGCCAATTTTTGTACCTGAGACCTGTAAGAAAATGCTTCTATTTCCTCTTTGTTTACTGAGAACAGTTGGTATTTCCTGTGCGTGAGGAATTTTTGTTTGCTGTTAATTAGTGTTGCTATGTAAAATAAAATTATTAAAACTAAGTGAATAAAAGACAAATTATTATAGGTTGTATGCTAATCAGCAGGTATTCCTTGCTGTGCACACTCTTGGTTAATTGCTACATCTTCCATGGATTTTTTTTATTATTATTTTATTATTTTTAATGTCTGTATTTTCCTTTGACTGTTCTTTAGCTCACTGCTAGAGTAACATGTAGTGGATAAAAAGTTTTAATTGGTTCAAAGGGCTGTTGTGTAAATTCATGGAAGAACAGTTCATCTAACACTACTAAATACAAAAACAGAATCTGTGGTTAACAAAATGTAAGCTTTAACTGCTAGAAGTTGTCAGAGTTTAAGCGAACAAAGACAAAACGGTCCCTCTCCTCCTGCGTGTTATTGACCTTGTGCTGTTGATGACTCTCTGTAGTGAAATTG